CACACACACACACACACACACACACACACACATTCACTCGTCCGTTCATTCATTTTTTTCATTTTTTTCATCTTTTTTGTAGGCTGAACTTTTTATTTTTTTTGTAACCCTGAAATAATGGGGCCACCAGCTTGGTAGACCCCTGCAGATCACCGGTCCCCTGCTGACGATTCCTTCCGCGTATATTTTGCGGATTGGCACTGCGCCCCCTCGGTGGCCGGGGGGACAAGGGAGGGTTGATACGCAAAAACAATGCATGGTACCCCTGCCTGTTTTGGGGCCACCAGTCATGGTTCCGACCAGGGTATTTTTCTGCAATATACTGATTGAGAGAAGGCGGGCCTCTACTTGACGATCGCTGCTATCCATCCGTCGGGATTGGGCCGTCTGATCTACGATAAAGGAGGTTTCGGCCGGCCTTCGAAGCAACGCCTAGGTGTACTATATGAATACTCATTGACGAAGCATTCTTCCTCATTCGCTCTGCTCACGATATGCTGTCTACTGCCCGCATATTCTGCTGCGTGATCGGTGGTGGAAAAACTCGCATTCTCGTAGTTTTTTTTCCGTGTGCGTCRTGAAGGCTACGYGCTGYAGAGGTTGCGAGCTGAGGCGACTACTCGAGGCTCGGCATTTTMAAGGAGTACACACAGCGCCATGGAGGATGTGGAATTGCMATTCGGCTMRGAGGGCTTGCCGGAACCAAAYGAAGAAGTGGTATTGKTCCACCCCTCTGTCTCGTTCTCTGTGGTATGATCTGTGTGTGGCTTGATTGTGTGGTTGTTTGCARGTACCCTCTGACGATCTGCCGTGTGGYRCGGCAGTGAAAAGCGCTTYAGGGAGTCGCCACCTCCTCTGCATTCCCCTGGCTGTACGAGAGTGCCTGACTCAAGGCGGAGACACCAGGCRGCCCTCGAGTGGTGTGATCGGTCGCACCTCTGCCTCTGCTGGTTCTCCACGMGTAGCTGCATCATTCTTCRTCCCTCATCGRCATCATGACCATCTGCGGGCTCACGTCTGAGGYGGACTGATTYTCTGCGGTGGATCTATCGAGCTAGGTGGCGGCTGGYTATGATTGCATAGATGAAGATGGATGTGGCTGCCTGAAATGCTGTGTACGGGGTGTGATGACCACAAGGAGACCCACGGGTTTCAGGTAGTTTGGTGGCATCGGGGTTTTGATGACTGAGGTCTCGGGGGTTGGTGCTGCCGGTAGACGGGACATATTGAATAGCGGTGTTTGTGTGGGCCCAGGTATAAGGCGCCCAGGTATAAGGCGCCCAGGTATAAGGCGCCCTGGTGGGGTGGATGGGAGATTCTTGGACTGATGGCTGAGGTGGTTCTCCGTTTCATGCAACATCGATTTTGGAGTTCCTACGTGGGGCTTGGAGACAGCGAGGGGTCCCTCCTTCTTGCTTCATTTTTTCTTCCCCCGTTCCTTYGTTTATTTTTTCTCTCTCGTTCGATAGACCTGATGGAATCAGAAGTAGCATTGTGCATGATTRTCTCCTGTGTAGTCATCTGCRTTAGTTTCTTGGCTTTTCTTGTATTTMTGGATGTAGGGAGAACAGGGGCTGTGGGATGTTCGACGCCTTCCAACTCTAGGCCTAGCTCAGGGATATGCGYGGCAAATAACGGTGCCCTGGTTGACGAGTTGCTAAAGCTGGTCGGGCAATTCATTGCTAAGCTAATGGAGGAGGGTGTTTCCTAAAGATTGCGACTTAGTTGATCGAGCCGGGTCTGCACTGGCACCGTAATGCCCTTGTATGCGTGAACACTATTTCTGTTGTCGCTTCGGGATGCGGGAGGTGGTTTTCGTTTGGGGAATGTTTTTGATGAACCTGTGTTATTGAAGGAGGCATTTGGTGGGATTATCCATCGTCTGATGACTATATCTGTCCCTCGTATGATTGCTTTTCTTTCGTTCTTTGGTCTTTCATCCCTTGCCTTGCTCATGAACATGATAAATGGCAGCGTAAACTTGTGGATGCTGCTTATTTCGTCTTTTGCATGATTGGAAAGGAATGTGATTCCCCAGGTTGCAGTGAATCTAATACGTGATAGCATACCAGGCCGTTTTTATTACGGAGTTCATAGCATTTTATGCTATGCGTACAGTATAACACACACATGGAGAGTTCTCCTAGGCACTGAATCGGGGTCGAATCCTCGTTTTTCCCTGGTTATACTTTGCTATCACTTGCGAAGCGGGTTCACTCCCTGTTTCTTCCTTATTTCCATGCTTGAGTAATGCATATGTGGCGTGTTGCGGTCACGGTTGATTATGCTATCAGATGTATTGTGAGTTCATGAGATAGAGATGGATGGATACTAGCGATTGTTCCAGGACTCGGAGTAGAGACCCTGCTATGACACCCAAGTTTGGGTTATTTCTACAGGGCTGCGGTGGGTACTGTTGTGGATGGCGGATCAGGCCGTGGTTACGGAACCCAAGCACAGTATGCTTCGAAATATTTTCTAATTGAAGACAAGGAGCGTTGCTCTCCCGGGAGTTGCGTTGGGGTTGAATCCCCTCGCCCTGATGTCTCCGCCATCCTACGCATAAGCGACCCTTCCCCCCTGGCTATCTGGCGTATTTTGGTCTCATGAGATAAAGATGGAACAATATTAACGTTTTCTTCCATGTATAGATGCTTTTATGACACCCTGGTTGGATCATCGTTACGGGGTTGCGGTGGGTATCTTTACGGATGACGGATCGGGCCGTGTTTACGGAACCTAAGCGTAGTATGCTTTGGATTTCTTTTTGTATTGAAACAAGGAGTGTCGTTCTCCCGGGAGTTGCATTGGGGTTGAGCCCCCTCGCCCTGATATCTCCGCCATCCTACGCATAAGCGGCCCTTCCCCCTGGCTTTGACAATGCTTGGGGTCTGCTTGCGTCTATATTTGGGCGATTGAAAGTAATCATGGCAGATGTGAAGCCCTTGTCTTTTAGGACTAATCCCCTGATACCTTGATTGGCTTAACACCTAACACGAACCCCCCCCCCTGGTCAATCCTGTTGAAAAGAAGGACACCGGATGGCTGCTTTGCTTTTTCAATTTCTTCTGATCGCTCACCTCGGCTTTACCGTGGTCTGTGTGATATGTGGCTATCCCTGGAGAGGCTGTGTGCAGGGCTACCTGTTTTTCTCTATGTTTTTCGACCCTCATGATGCCTCGACCCTCTTGTATTTTCTCGACCCCCCGTTGGCTGTTGGCTGGGCCTCCCCGTGTGTTTGCCTTGGATGGTTTGCAGACCCCCTCTCCGGTCGCAGAGGAGGATTCTAAGGGTAGTGACCCGGACCTAACTCCCGATACTTGGTGGGACAACACCTTGTCCAAATACGAGTGGCTTCGGGATCTTCCATCCCCCTCAAAACCTACCAAGGCGCTGATCTCGACGCTAAACAAGCACATCTTGGAAGAGGTGGGGAGGTTGGTGGGTGCGGGGAAGTTCCCCCACCTCACAAGGGTGACGAAATTTAACGAGTGGGCGGAGCTGGCCTGGACTTTCAAAAATGATAGGGCGGTGTTAGTAGAGTTGATCGAGAGATACGCAGCAAACGCAGAAAAGGTGGCTTCCAAGGATTTGAAGGAAGACCGGACCATCGAGCTGAAGACGTCGGAAGCGGAGAAGGTATGGTTGAAGGCCTGGGGGCTGCCATCGACTCATCTGGACTGGTTCATGGCACGGTACAATACGGAGGAGGCGGACGGGGGTTCTTCTATGTTGGATGTTTTCAACTTGGACGAGGACGAAAGGATGGAAGTTGATTTCCTCATAGCGCCAGGAGCGGATCTCACTGAGAGGCACAAGAGACCTACGGCGAGGGATTATGAGAGGCACACATTCCTCCCATTGGTGAGCTCGCACTGGATTGAGGATATTGCGTGTTCTGTCCAAGATAGGGTGTGGAGGCTCGAGTCATTCAATCATCTTGCTCCAATCGGCATTAAGGCGTATAAGTTTTTGGCGGGGGCGAAGAAGGAGGATCTGGAGGAGTGTTACAACGATGCGCTCGCAGGCGTGTTAGTATATGGGGGGAAGAAGAAGACACCCCATAAGGGTGGCCGGTTGTCTTTCCCTGCTCTGCAAGAGCTGGATGCGGAGAAGTGCCAGTACCAGAAGTCGGTGGTCATGCAGAAGACCGCCCCGTTGAGCTGTGCAAGGGACCTTAACGAGCTGAAGAAGTTCTGGAACATGGGAAGACCATATTTGAAATGCAAGTGGGGGTACCAGAACACTCGGAAGTGCGACGCTGGGCTGCTTTGGTTTGATCAGGTCCTATGGTACCTCTTCGGCGAGTCTTCGCCCACCTGGAGGTCATCATTCCTTCGACAAATTCAGGGAAGGCCAGGTTTGTCACGGTGTTACAGCACTGCCGTAGTACGTGGCGGCCTTTGATGCTGGCTAACATCACATTCATCTATATCCGCCACTTCATGATGCTCGCCTCCCAAGCTCTCCTGCGCAATCCGACCTGCACCCCTGATCAGCTGCTGAACAGACATTTGATGGCGAGCCCCTTTCCCTGGATCTTGACCAAGCATGCACTGCCACAGAAGCTCTCTAGGAAAGCCCCTCAGCAATTGGGGGGAGACCAGTTACCTAACAAGAGGGTCTCGCTCGATGGCCGGGGTCAGCAACCTCTGCGGTTCACACCTGTGCAAAGGGAGCTGACTGTGGGATCCCAGGGGTCGACGGCCTCTGAGATACTCACCCCGCCAGAGCCCCGCCTCCCCTCTCACACCAACAGTGGGGCTTCCTCTTCCATGCTCTCAGAGGTTCCCAAACGCAGGCGACACTCAATAGGAAACCAACCAAACGAGGACTGTGCGGTTAATGACCCATAGTCGGGGCTGCATGGCTTACGTAGCACTCGTGGGTGTTTGCCGTCCCAACCCTCATGACCGATTGAGTGTTTTTCCTTTTTCTTTTTTCGTTTTTGATTGGGTCTCAGATGGATTGGATGTTGCATTTCCAGTGTTTCCTTGTTTTGTTTCTACTACGAATATTGGGCTAATCATCACGACTAATGTTTTCCTCCTCCTGATGTTGATGTCATTTAATTGTCGTCTGTGGTTGATTTTTAGGAAAAGCGGGGACACATGGGGCTCACTCCCGCAGGGAGAAAAAAGTGGATCAAAACGCCCGCAGCCACGAATGTGAGACCTGTATACGTGCATTTATTATACACGAGAAGGCTTTTTGAGGCGATCAATGTCAGAAGGATTTCTTAGGATGCGCTAGCCCGGGTAGCCCCAGATGCGCTTGGTTCGCTCGATGCGGTGATTTTTGGTTGGAAATACGGGGAGCGTGTCTCTGCCCGGCTATACAGGCCTGCCGAGGTCTTCAGGGATTTCGATCTCGTCTTGGCAGGATAGCACCAAGCCGGACAGGTGCCCTTGTGCGACAGCTAGGTTTCGCCCTTTTCATCGATGGGAGACCATGGATATGGTCGAGGATCCAGAATGGAACCAATCGCATGTACTGACACTGGACCCAAGGATATCCTCCTCACCCTCGGTGAGAGCGCTGCTTAAAGCAGGACTAAACCATATCCTGGTTCAACCGCTTGATGTCAAAAGCGCCCTTGCACAGATTTGTGCCGCCTGGGCTTGTTTGAGAAAGGAGGTTGGCGATATCGCAGATCTCCCGGACCTGCAGGCGGAAGGAGTTGAATCCGCCGTCTTGGCAGCTGCAAAGAAGGGGTTTCGGGGCTATATCAGAAGGAATAGACACGTGCCCCTCCCGATAATGAACGATTATCATGTGCAACATGAGGCTCGCTTTCTGACAAGCAAATTCTTCATTTGCGGCACTGATAAGGCGCCTCATACCCCTACGATTGTCTGTAAGAATTTGATCAGGAGGCTCGTCCTCCAGAGGCTGCTTGGGCCTGACTTCGTCCAGAGGATGGAGTCCCTCGAGCAGATCCTGCAGGAGGTTTGTACGTGTATGCATGAGTTTTGTCCAACCCTCCCCGTTGGGCCAATGAAATTGCCATACCTGATGTGCATCTTTAAGGAACATAAGAATTCGTTTCGTTGGCTTACCAATGCGGCTGATTGTGTGTTCTCCCCGTTTTTTTAGCTCTGTGCAGAGGTGCTTTCAATGCTAAGCATTGAAGTTCAGGCTCACTGTCTGGAGGAGAGGAAGCTAATTAGAAGATATCATGGGTTTGACGCTAACCTCTGGTGGCTGATTGATTCCATATCTGAGTTCTGTGCGAATCTGCCAGAGAAGGTGTACTCATTTTTTTCTGCCGATATCGGCAGATGTTTTGAGACCATTCCAACTGATGAAACCTCTCATGGCCTGGGGAATGCGATTTGTTTTTTTGCACGAATGGCACTGAAACACAGGGAAAGAACTAACCCATGTTGTTATATTGGATTAAAGGTTAGCAGCATTGGGAAAGTGGTGTGCCGATGGCTTGCAAACCCATCTGCAACCACATTTGTCACACTGGACCTTGAGCAGATCGTGAATATGAATGTGTGGTTAGCCAGAAATAATGCTATCCAATTTGGCAGCAGGACATGGGAACAGAAAACTGGTATCCCTATGGGCCTCCCATGCTCGCCAATTTGGTGTAACGTTTATTTTTTTAAATACGAATTTCAAGCAACGATCAGGTTGCTGAGCACGGGAAATGGCCACTTGCTGGGGGCATTTGCCTCTACTGTGAGATACATGGATGACCTCAATTCGCTAAACAACAGCATTATCGAGCAATTTCTTGATCCAGATCAAGAAATGGTCGAATCAAATCCATGCTGGATCTACCCCCTTCACCTCATTGAGATCAATCATCAAAAGAAACATCGCACTGAGGGTATGGGGGATGCAGTCAATTTTCTCAATATGACCATACAGGTGGCCTGTGAAAGGACTGGCAGATACCTGACTTTGAAACATGACGAGACTGGTCAGTTGAACTTCAGGATATGTTCATATATCCTGTTTGACTCGAACAGACCAATCAACCAGACTGAACCAGTCTCCTGCCGTCCTGATTCCTCTCACAGTTTCTTCGTTGCTGGTTTGCTCTGAGGCTTCGGATGCTGCAGATGATATTCAAAAGACGGTCGGGAGTTTTGTGAATAATGGGTTCCTACCCAGACGTTGTTGGGGAGTGGTAAAAAGGGTCATCTGCAACCCATCCAATTTCCAGCCCTTCAGAGCAGATCTGGAGGAAACGTTGAGGATCCTCAGGGCACATGTCCCGGGCATGCTGTGAGTCATGAATAGGCAAGAATTGTGGTCATAATCGTTGTGGCGTGGGTGATGTGACTGACGTGTGATGACATGACAGCAATGTGTGGTGTGCTTCCTCTCATCGAAAACAAAGGGGGAAGGGTACCCAGGGGGGATTTGCCGGGCAGGCAGCTCCCCGCTGGGTATCTGCCTGCCCCATCCTTAAAACTGGGGGGTTTTGGGGTGGGACACACACACACACACACACACACACACACACACACACACACACACACACACATTCACTCGTCCGTTCATTCATTTTTTTCATTTTTTTCATCTTTTTTGTAGGCTGAAYTTTTTATTTTTTTTGTAACCCTGAAATAATGGGGCCACCAGCTTGGTAGACCCCTGCRGATCACYGGTCCCCYGCYGAYGATTCCTTCMGCGTATATTTTGCGGATTGGCACTGCGTCCCCTCAGTGGCCGGGGGGACAGGGGAGGGTTCATACGCAAAAACAATGCATGGTACCCCTGCCTGTTTTGGGGCCACCAGTCATGGTTCCGGCCAGGGTATTTTTCAGCAATATTCTGATCGAGAGAAGGCGGGCCGCTACTTAACGATCGCTGCTATCCATCCGTCGGGATTGGGCCGTCTGATCTACGATAAAGGAGGTTTCGGCCGGCCTTCGAAGCAACGCCTAGGTGTACTATATGAATACTCATTGACGAAGCATTCTTCCTCATTCGCTCTGCTCACGATATGCTGTCTACTGCCCGCATATTCTGCTGCGTGATCGGTGGTGGAAAAACTCGCATTCTCGTAGTTTTTTTTCCGTGTGCGTCRTGAAGGCTACGYGCTGYAGAGGTTGCGAGCTGAGGCGACTACTCGAGGCTCGGCATTTTMAAGGAGTACACACAGCGCCATGGAGGATGTGGAATTGCMATTCGGCTMRGAGGGCTTGCCGGAACCAAAYGAAGAAGTGGTATTGKTCCACCCCTCTGTCTCGTTCTCTGTGGTATGATCTGTGTGTGGCTTGATTGTGTGGTTGTTTGCARGTACCCTCTGACGATCTGCCGTGTGGYRCGGCAGTGAAAAGCGCTTYAGGGAGTCGCCACCTCCTCTGCATTCCCCTGGCTGTACGAGAGTGCCTGACTCAAGGCGGAGACACCAGGCRGCCCTCGAGTGGTGTGATCGGTCGCACCTCTGCCTCTGCTGGTTCTCCACGMGTAGCTGCATCATTCTTCRTCCCTCATCGRCATCATGACCATCTGCGGGCTCACGTCTGAGGYGGACTGATTYTCTGCGGTGGATCTATCGAGCTAGGTGGCGGCTGGYTATGATTGCATAGATGAAGATGGATGTGGCTGCCTGAAATGCTGTGTACGGGGTGTGATGACCACAAGGAGACCCACGGGTTTCAGGTAGTTTGGTGGCATCGGGGTTTTGATGACTGAGGTCTCGGGGGTTGGTGCTGCCGGTAGACGGGACATATTGAATAGCGGTGTTTGTGTGGGCCCAGGTATAAGGCGCCCAGGTATAAGGCGCCCAGGTATAAGGCGCCCTGGTGGGGTGGATGGGAGATTCTTGGACTGATGGCTGAGGTGGTTCTCCGTTTCATGCAACATCGATTTTGGAGTTCCTACGTGGGGCTTGGAGACAGCGAGGGGTCCCTCCTTCTTGCTTCATTTTTTCTTCCCCCGTTCCTTYGTTTATTTTTTCTCTCTCGTTCGATAGACCTGATGGAATCAGAAGTAGCATTGTGCATGATTRTCTCCTGTGTAGTCATCTGCRTTAGTTTCTTGGCTTTTCTTGTATTTMTGGATGTAGGGAGAACAGGGGCTGTGGGATGTTCGACGCCTTCCAACTCTAGGCCTAGCTCAGGGATATGCGYGGCAAATAACGGTGCCCTGGTTGACGAGTTGCTAAAGCTGGTCGGGCAATTCATTGCTAAGCTAATGGAGGAGGGTGTTTCCTAAAGATTGCGACTTAGTTGATCGAGCCGGGTCTGCATTGGCACTGTAATGCCCTTCTCTGCGTGAACATTGTTTCTGCTGCCGCTTCGGGATGCGGGAGGTGGTTTTCGTTTGGGGAATGTTTCTGACGAACCTGTGTTATTGAAGAAGGCATTTGGTGGGATTATCCATCGTCTGATGACTATATCTGTCCCTCATATGATTGCTTTTCTTTCGTTCTTCGGTCTTTCATCCCTTGCCTTGCTCATGAACATGATAAATGGTAGCGTAAACTTGTGGATGCTGCTTATTTCGTCTTTTGCATGATTGGAAAG